CTCGTTTGGTTGACGAGTCCTACCGTCAAATCTAGCTCTACATAGAAACTTTGATGGGGTAGGCGCATGGTGGTCTGTTAGCAATTTTCTCAGCTCGTTAAAGCTCTTGGTAGTTAGACTAGCTGGTGCGCATAAGTCCTTTAGTAGCCTAAATTGTTGAGGCCCTATGACTGTTAACAAAACAGCTCTCTTTTTGGCTTCTATCGTCACGTTGTTTGCTTCAAGGTAAAAGCTTAACCTATCTAGATAATCATGAATGATTTCATCATTCGAATCAAATTCTTTTATTTGGCCATACAGCGCCATTATTCTAGAAATACTTAGCCAATATGCTCTAGCAAACCTCTTTTTGAGTAAGTAGGTGCTCTTTCTAGTGGATTATCCCATCCTCGTCGCCAGATATAATAGATTGGAAACACTGACGAGAAGCCGCGTTGATTGTTAACAAGCCTTTATTCAGCCATGATGGAGAGAGAGAGAGGAACAGGAAGTAACAATAGATAAATACAAGGGACATCACTCAATAACAACATTATAAATATAACTAATACAAGAAGAGTGAGTTCCCCTGACCTCACAAATCCCAATATATTACATCTATAATATAAGCGGGCTGTGTCTGTCCTTCCTTCCGTCCGTCATCGCTATAGATTTTGGGACTATAAAAGTAAACTACGCACCATGCTGTGCTTTTCAGTGCACCTCAGTGTCTTATTATAAGTAATTGAGTAGGGTTTGTTTATATAACGGCATAAGGATATTTTATAATTTCCACTGTTTGTACAATTTTGCATAACGTAAAGAGAGTATTAAATACACGCACATTGCTAAAACATATTAAAAGGATCAATGTCAAATATAGTTTTCGTTAATATTCCTAGAAAAAGTGGATACATTTTAATAAATAATAACTGTAGGTTAGAAAAATCTAATTAAACTGTTTAGTAATTTTGCCAAGGGAGGTATTTTAAAAATAAATTGAACTCACGCTAAAAATGTGAATGCAAAATCTGCAAGACGGAATAATTGTTGAAATAATATAATTAGCAAAATGTGAATGCAAATTATGCAGACGTGTAAGAGTACATTATTGTTGGAATATTATAATTAGCATTGATTGATAAAAGGCTATCTTTTATTTATTTTATTCACTGAATTTAATGTTTACTACTTATACTTTTTATCAACTATTAAGCACTATTATAGACGCGTCATCACGTTCATTTGGTGCGCAATGGTTTTAGTTATGAAACTCTATTTTTTTTTTAAATTTAAAGTACTGGGAAAAAAATGCGTGAATTGATAAAGTGATATAATATGGTAGTTAAAACACGGATATTTTAAATACTGCTGGGGGTTTTATAGGAGAGGCGTAGAGAGGGGGGGGGGGGCAAATGTCCCCGGTTGCCGACCTAAGGGGGCGCCAAAGTGGGTTGGAAAAAATTTGCGGGGGGGGGGGGGGTGCAGGGGGTGGTGGAAATCGAAAGTTTGAGGGCGGTGGGAGGGTGCAAATCGAAAGTTTGAGGGGGTGCAAATCAACAGATTGAGCGGGGGGAATTTCAAATCAAAAGTGTTGCAAATCAAAAGTGAAAGGGGGGGGGGTGCAAATCGTAAGTTTTTCCCCGGGCGTCGGAAAGAGTCGCTACGCCTCTGTTTTATAGTCATTCACTGTGTCAGACGCGTCCGGCGGGTCTCGGAAAGGGCGCGATTTGGCGCTACGGGCTAGACTGTGAGCAATATGCCTTTATGATTGCATTTAAATTGTGTTTATGTTATGAGTGTTGTGTTTGTTTTTTCGTTGTTTTTTTTTGCGTTCGTTTGTGTTGTGTTTAGTTTTGTTCTGTTCCCAAGTTGGTACATTTAAAAAAGATTTACCGTGGCGGAGCACGGGATGCAGCTAGTATATATATATATATATATATATATATATATATATAAATATACATATATATATATATATATATACATATATATATATATATATATATATATATATATATATATATATATATATATATATATATATATATATATATATATATATATATATATATATATATATATTTTTTTTTTTTTTTTTTTTTTTCAACCTTACTGTTAATAAAATAGGCTCTATATCCAAATTTTCAAGGAATCTAAACAAAAATAGTATTTGGCATTGATCCTATTAATATGTTTTAGCAATGTTTGTGTATTTAATATTTTGTTCACATTATGCGAAAGTGAAAAAACTGTGGCAACTATAAAATAAATTTAAGTTGTTATATAAACAAACCCTACTCTATTACTGATAATAAGACAGTGCGATGCATTGAAAAGCACAGCATGGTCGTTATAAGTCAACATCCGTCCGATTGACTTCCTTTCTTAATTAAAATAGCCCGATTCAACAATGGCAAAGAGAACCAAGAAGGTTGGCATTGTTGGAAAGTATGGAACCAGGTATGGTGCCTCTCTCAGAAAAACTGTCAAGAAAATGGAGATAACTCAGCACATACACATGTCCCTTTTGTGGAAAGGAATCCATGAAGAGAAAAGCAGTTGGCATTTGGAAGTGCAACAGATGCTCTAAAACAGTTGCAGGGGGTGCTTGGGTTTATTCAACTACAGCTGCAGCTTAAGTAAGATCGGCACCCAGCACCCGTAAATCTACATGCATCGCTAAAAACCTCAACTGACTGGGGAATTCCCTACCCCATCCCACAGACCTGCATCTCTCTCCCAACTGTCTGCCCTCCACGAAATTCCATTTTACTAAGCACCCATGGTAAGAACTGAGACAATTTAAAAAATAATAACCATGGACAGTGTTCTCACAACCAGCTGAGTCCAACGTTTGTCAAAGTTTTTCTTTACCTTAATGACATTTCATTTGTTGATCTAATCATTCTTTAATCAATATGGCGCTACCAACACTATACGTTTTTGATTTTCATCCAATCGCCAAGAAACTTTGGGAAGTGGTTGTCGTTAAGAATATTCCAAAGAAAGTGTTTTTTCGAGACATTTTTACTGAAAAGATGCATGAAAGAAACTCTGACTTTTGGGAAGGTTTCTGCCTTTAATTTTTTATTTCTGAGGGTGGCGCTCCGGCAGTAAGGCGGCGCAGTTTACCACCCAGAGTTTCCCAACAGTACCTTGGGTCTGTTTATTGGGTGTCTTGCGCAACGGGTAAGCGTTACTTCTTAATTCAGTTGTAAAACTGCAGCCGGCACCTCGGCAGTAGTGTAACCCGGTGCGCCCCGCGCTCCCACATGAGCATTATGGCGCCTATATTCTTTTTAATGAGCGCCATACACTAGGGATACGTTGGGATACTAAAGTCGATTACTAAATCGAAAAAGGCGTGTCCTCCAGCGCTTTAGCAGTAGTAACGGTTGGTCGCCCCGAGTTACCCAGCGGATACATGAGTGCACGAAATCCGTTGATTGGGCGTCCTTCAATCACGCGAATATTCTACAATAGGGACAAGATGGGCCTCTACGTTCGATAACTAAATCGAACCAGAGGTTGCATCTGGCTACCTACGATGGTGTAACCAGTCACTTCCGCGAAGACCTTGACACCTAGGTGGTCGCCAAAAGGTATTCATCATCACTAATAAGGAATATGATCCAAAAAATGGCGGTGTTGTTGTTTACATGTTAACTAAACATATATCAGTTTCAGAAAATAAGGCCCCACGACTAAAAATACACAATTGGTAACGCTTTGATGAAACCCTTACAAATTGTTTCGTTACCATGGTATGTGGGTCTAGGTCGCAGCGGACGGGCACGCTAGTAAGTATAATAGAAACATTCTTTAACATTCCACTGTGATCGGTAAAGAGATTTTGATTTCTATGATGGAATTCTTAAATCTCATTATTTGTAGATATGCCCATTGGGTCATTAGCTTAGCCATCCTAAGAATCAAACATACAGACGCAGCTAAAGTAGATCTCAGTGAACTTATTAATCATTTACAAAATTAAAAGTAAGAAAAAAAAACCCACATATCTAAATACTAAATAAATCATGAGAAATTAAAAATAAATGTATTTGGTTAGTGGCGTCATAATATCGGGCGTTACCCTATGTGTTTACTAAAATTGTCACCCCATCGTCCCCAATTTATCATTTTCGGTGAGGAGTCACCCCTCTCTTACTAACCTGTTATTATTTTAGCTTGGTTTGTCATCAAATTGTTACCTCTGACCCCGCCTTATGACGCTGCTCTGTTCGTTTACTTAAAAAAAAAATAACTGTAAGACTGTAACATTTTTTACAAAACTACAAAACTACATAATAGTATAGTATAAATACACAATAAGCACGTATAAAATATAAAATGTAAAGAATATTTATATTATTATCTGTAGATCTTAAGTAGCAGTTGATTTGTTCGTTTAACTCCATTATAGTCTGACGGCCGACGAAGGGGCCCACTGATGATTTTCGCATACAGTGTTTCTTCCAGACATTTTTCTCCGGGGGGGGGGGGGCGGTCAACATTTTCCGGGGGGGGGGGGGGAGGCGGACACTAGTAAAAGTATATGTTTACTATATAAATTCCATCTCGTTCGGGGGGGGGGCGGTAGACTTTCTTCGGGGGGGGGGCGCTCTCCCCCCCCCCCCCGAAGAGATGCCTGGAAGAAACTGTTCGCATAGGGGCCCGAAATTCCTAGCTACGCCACTGTATATAGATTCCATTTCTATCGGGGGGGGGGGCGGTAGACCTCCTTAGGGGGGGGGGGGGGGACTTCCTTCGGAAAGCCCCCCCCCCCGCCCCCCTCCCCTCACCGAAGAGATGCCTGGAAGAAACGGATCCCCAACAGTTGACATTTTATTTCCTAGATCTTTAAATACTTGCGTATTTTCACTAGCATTTGTTTACTTATTAGTAAACCATTTCAATTAATACACACACATAAATAGTAGGGCCCCCAAAATGTATGCCAGGGGACCCGCTCAAGCATGTGTCGTCGGCCCCTCAGCTACTTCACTGGGTGACACTCGAACTTGTGACGCCAATGCGCGTGGAAATGAGCAAAGCTCCATTTTTCTATAGGCCTACGTTGTACATGGACGACCATTTAATATAATTTTAATTGAAACAAACAGGATCTAGATATAGATTTACTTTATATTAACAAATAAGAATAATATAAACTGTTTGTAAAAATAGTTAGAACAAATGAAAATGCGTTTCCTAATGGTACTCGCGAGGGAATACTGCTGTTTGGAAACAAGGTTTATTTTTAGAAACAAAATCTCAGACCGAGGCTACAATATTCAAGATGGCAATTGTTAGACATACAGTCGAGAAAGGAAAAAGCACTAGATCTAGATCTAGATCTATAAAGTTATAAAAAACTAGATCTACTTGGAACCATCACATACACATATGGTAAGTTTGGTAACCGTAACTTTATTGGCTTTCAAGAATCGTGGAATGATTTTAGATACTGATGTCCAATAGGCAATAATAGACTCTTCCATAAATAGGCCTAGGTAAAATCTTAGTTTAGCGTCGTAAATTCGGCCAAAACTAGTAATGTAGGAGAGAGTGAATTTATGAATATGTCATTAAATATGGGTATATTTTCGTATATTTTGATAAAATATTATAAATAATTGAATAATAGATCACCATTTATGGTTAAATCAATTTAAATATCCTGAAATTAATTTTTATCAACCCTGTTCGAGATAGTGAATTTGCTATTAAAAACAGCAGCCATCTTAAGAAAATGTTATTTAGAGTAGCTTCCCTTTCATTTCTATTCGTATGAAAATGTATTTAAATATGATTGTCTTGTTGTATATTCCGTATAACAAAGCATTTTTTTTTTAAATTCTGCTCTTTAAAAACTGAATCTCCTAACAAACAACTTTATTAATTCTAGAAGCATCGTGAGATGCAACTTGTATCCATGTTTTAAATCACGTTTTTTTTTACCAATGTTTATTTGATCTTACTATTACTAGATCTATAATAATCTATATAGTTTGAGTTTTTTCTTATTGTTTGAATGTTCACTATTTTCATTGCAGGTTTTTTTAGTGATTCTCTCGTAACTTATGACATTTTTTTTTACTTCTCTTTACCTTAATTAAACCCCAACCTCCGTCATATTTTTGTTGTCACTGTCACAACCAGTCATAAGGGGTCATCCATAAATGACGTCACACTCGTAAAGGGGGGGGGGGGGTGTCCGTAATTTTGTGACGATGTGTGATGAGGGGGAGGGATTCAGATGTTGCGACGTCACATTTTTGCATTATAAAAAAGCAATGTTAGAAAACGAATTTTAGACGTTATTTCGCGTTTTAGATAACTGTTTTAATAAATTGTAATAGTTTAGACAAGATTTTGGAAAAATATCGATGTTTAAAAAAAATTCAACTGCAATTTTGAGGGGGGTTGTAGGTTGAGGTGTTGCGTCATTTTAGGGGGGGGGGGGTCTGGCTTTTTGTGACGACGTGTGACGGAGGGGAGGGGGGAGGTAAAAATCGTCAAAAAAGCGTGACGTCATTTATGGATGACCCCTAATGTAAAAATTACGCTTCGCTCTGCCTTATCTAAGATCTCTAGCCATAATTTTGACAACAATAAATGTTTGTCATCATTTATATACACAGAGAGACAAAATGTATTATCCACCAGCTTCCCTCGTAAAGCATCATCTAAAATAATCAGCCACTCCACCCCTTAAGTGCGTGTTGTCATTATGGTCGATCGCAAGTCTCCACCTGCCAGACACATTATGGTTATCCTTTGTTGTCAAAATGTCAATATCAAGTACCCAAGTGAGTGATATGGGGTTGTCCATAAATGATGTCACATATGATTTGCTACGGGAGTGAGTGAAGATTTGTGACGTCAACTCAGGCGGCTCCGCAATTTATGACGTTTCGGTCTCATGAAAGGAGGTGAACGGGGAGAAATACCTAGGTGATTGATGGAGAACCTCTTTAATGCTTTGTTCAATCAAAATAACCATAAATAAGCATTAGTATACGTATACCTTGCTTAAAACGAATCATCACAAATGTTGCAAGCCTGCTAGTTTAAGACATTTGGCAAAACGGCCTCAACACATTATCCCCGTCAAAAAGGCTTGCCACCAAATACCTGCCGGCGAATAAGCCGCGTCTAATGCGGGGCGTTAGGAATACGGCCATTAGCATGGGCCGCGTTAGAGCACCAGTAGGCTATCGCGCTTTGTAAGATGACGTAAATACTTAAATTCAATTTCGCTAAACTGCGCGAAAATTTAGTAATGTTCCAAGGTTTGAGGAAATTTATTTTCTTGGACTTAAATTGAAATATCATGTTGACTGTCTGGCTCTTAATTTCCGAATATCACTTTTAATGTATCAAGATTCAGAACTATAATTTACTTTAATATAAGTGTCATCTTATCGTTTATTGTGCTTTTTATAAAGCGCAGAGCAGCTTCAAAATCGTTAAAAGTTAAAAGTATATATTTTCTATATAAATTATATAAATTTCATTTCGTTCGGGGGGCGGTAAAAATTTTTCAGGTGGGCAAAGCCCCCCCCCCCCAAAGAGATACCTGGAAGAAACTCTGTATGTTAGGGGCTGTTTAATGAACACCAACTTATGTAATCAAATTAAACGTCGCAAAAGCGTCAAAAAGGCAGTGCTTGTTGTTTTTTTTTCTATAAAATTTGCCTAACGGTCGGCGGTACCGGTACATGACGTCACGTGTGAGCGTTAACTCGGTGACGATGTGCTAAGTGGGGGAATGAAAAGGTGGGGTTCGAGAAATGCGACTCAGCATGCTTTTTACATTTCTTGACCCTTCTTAATAGTTCTATCGTCCCCACTGAGAAAATGGATCACCAATGAAAGACGCGTCATACTTCTACAGCTGGTCTTTCTCCCACAACCATCCCGTTTTCACGAAAAAAACAACAACCTGACCCGTCTCTAAAATCACATCGCTGAGTTCTACTCAACCTCTCCCCACCACAAATCACAATTTCTATCTGAAACAATATGTTCATATGTTTGTTCTGTAATAATGCACGCTGTCATTACTATCTTAAGAGCGACGTCATTTATAAGCGATCTAATATTGATTTGCTTACTGCAAATAAAGTGTTCAAAAGTTCGACCTCCCAACAATTGTTATGGTCTTGGATGCACACTATTAAGTCTGAAAAGGTTTATTAGTCATTAATGTCAACTATATTTAAAAAAAGAAAAATTACTATACAGGGGGTCATCCATAAATGACGTCACGCTTTTTTTGACGATTTTTACCCCCCCCCCCCCCCCCCCCCTCCGTCACACGTCGTCACAAAAAGCCAGAGCCCCCCCCCCCCTAAAATGACGTCACACCTCAGCCTACAACCCCCCTCAAAATTGCAGTTGAATTGTTTTTAAACAGCTGTATTTTTCCAAAATCTTGTCTGAACTCTGTCAAAATAGAGTATTTTAATCAATTGTTATTTCAATGTATTACAATGTATTAAAACAGTTTTCTAAAACGCAAAATAACGTCTAAAATTCGTTTTCTAACATTGCTTTTTTAAAATGCAAAAGTGCGACGTCGCACCATCTGAACCCCCCCCCCCTCCCCCAACGTGACAAAATTACGGACCCCCCCTCCCCCCTACGAGTGGGACGTCATTTATGGACGACCCCCAGGCATATATTAAAACAATACAAAACAATCATATTAAACCATAAAATCAACACAAAAGACATGCGAATAGACAATTTATTGTTTTTGAAACATGGCCGCTGCTTGTATTTACTCATTGTTGTCTCGAACGGGGTAGTTTAAAGTTAATTCCAGGATATTTATGACTGGTTTGGTCTTGGATTGTGATTTTTTATTCAATTATCTGTTATATTATGTAAAATATGACATAAATATGGCCAAATGAAAGAAATATTCATTAGTTACCTTCATCGCACATTACTAGCTACGTTGGAATTTACGACGCTAAACTAAGATTTTACCTAGGCCTAATCCTAATTAAATATTTATTTAATATTTAATATAGTCTAGGCCTAATGAATTGTGTTGGGTTCTTCTACTAGTCTAGATCTAGACTAGAATCTAGAATAGATCTAGATCTAGATCTCTAGAAATAATTCTAGATTTCTAGATCTAGAATCTAATCTATAAATCTAGATTCTAGATTAATAATTATCTAGATCCAGAAGTCTAGAATTAGTAGAATGTAGATCTAGGATCTAGATCTAGATTCTAGTTCTAGAAATTCTAGATTAACTAGAGTCTAGATCTGGATATTATCAATCATATTATATTATTATTCATATTAGATCTAGATCTAGAGTAAAGTGGCGTCTGCGGACAGTTGCCTCTGCTGTGTGGACACCTTGCTGTTTTTCGCTTAAACAATAATTGTATGAATGTTTTATACGAAACTAACGCAAACAACACAAAGCATGTCCATTTTTAAACACATCTGAGTCAATTTCTTCTATTTCACTCAATAGGGAGATTAATTGGAATTTTTCAAAGTTGCGATGTATGACGTTTTATGTAGGGAACTTCACCCGGATGAAGAGCACTAGTCCCCGGATTAGAGGAATAAATCGAACCAATCATAGCTTAGTTAACTGGGTTAACTATAAATAGCTTATATATATATATAGAAGCTATTAATATCATAATTAAGGTTGTTTAAGCCATCTTAGAGGAAAAATTGGGGTGTCCGCATAAGGGATATTGATATACCTTTTTTGAGGGTTAACCTTTTGCGGACACTAATGAAAAATCAGAGTATATTTCTTACAGTTTAAGTAAAAAGGAGCTTTGAACTAATCTTGATACTCCAGATTTATATTTAAATTTAAGTCTAAATCTAGATCTATAAGTTTTTAGTAATGTTTTTAGGTTTTAAAAATATTTTTGATCATCAAACATGTCTACTAAGCTAAAAGTGAAATAAAATCTCAAATGGGTCCTGAGTTTCTTTCAGGCATCACTTTAATTTCATTAAAACTTATTTCATATTTCTTCATATTTTTTGTTTTCCAATATATTAATAATATATAAAATAATTAACAACACTATTTATGTATGTAACATGTTTATTTCAATCATTTAAATAGAAACAAAATGAACAAAATATGCCTTGTCCGCATAAGGAACAAGTGTGCGCACAGAAAATAAAATGTAAAAAAAAGCGCACTTAGTGTCCGCACAGAGTCTCACCACTGAAAATGTTAATACATTCAATGCTATGTGTATGAATACAAAATGAATCAGACATGATTAAACTAGAAAGAATGCGGAGTAAGACAGTACTTTCGGTTTGTTTCTATGTGAAACGGTTACTGAATGGCGCTCAATGGAAATCGGCACTTCTAATTTTTTTTTGCTACGTCTGTCCGCAGAC